AGATGGCTAATGTACTCTAAATTCATCTTTTGTGAATTTTCCAGCTTTTATGTAGAAAAGGAAGAAGTCTATCATTACGTGGGGTGTGTAGAAATTATATGAACTGACTTTCATTCCTCTTCAACTGGTTTTCCATTTTCTCTGTTCTTCATTAGCCGGTTTTGCTCTGTTTTTTCTTGGACTTTTTTACACATTTCTCTGTTCTTTTCATCAGCAAAAACTAACAGTAGCTATGCTGGCAACCATGACTCCTACGGCAACTCATGCAAAGGTAAGAGGCTCCCAGTGCTGTTATCTAAAAAAAACAAGTGACGAGAATAATTAAAATCACTTATTTTGCCAAATATAAAGTGACTTACAAACATGATGTTATGCTACACGTGCAGAAAATATTAAACTAATAGAACTTACAACATGATGTTATGCTACATGTGCAGAAAATATTAAACTAATAGAACTTACAACATGATGTTATGCTACACGTGCAGAAAAACTTTCGTAGAATTGCTACAGAATTTCATTTGGCATTATCATTGATTTTTCTCAAAAATCACAAAAAAAGCACTATACCCTTGCTCAGGGAATAATTCTTCAGTACCTTCTGACAATCCTTTTCAGTGAGTCTTGATGAAAAGAATTTCAAGTCAACAGCCACGTTTCACCTTGATGATGCAAATAATTTTCAAATAGAATTGAAACAGAGCTAGAAAATTTGATCTCTCTCATCTTCTTCTTCATTTTGTTAATCATCATTTCTTCAAGAGAGCTCTGTAGGGATGCTGCCAGTTTTTTTGTTTATTTCTCTGTGTTTATTCATGTATTTTTCCTCAACTTTGTGTACTCCAAATGCCCAAAAAGTTTCCAGTGTGGACATCTTGGCAATTTGGAATTTCCTCTGGCTGATTTTTCGCAACCCGAATGTGGGTTGTTCACGGTTGAGTGCAATACTATGAGATTTTGTCAAACATATCTGCCAATCAAGCATTGGTTCGTTCTTGAATGTCTTTTGAGAAGTAACAGCTGCAGTTTATTCCCCGAACTCTATATTCCACACTCTCATTCTATTTCGTTTACATTCTTCCCCAATATCACTTTGATCGGATAACCCAAAAATATGAACTCCGACGACGATCAGATAGGTCGTTTACGTGAAAGTTATAGAAACTACAAAGGTTGCGATTTCTTCGATATATATTACGCCTATTCAAACGGAAGGCCCCCAATTCCAAATGGTTGTTCTGTTCTTTACTTGCCACTCAAATTACAGCCTATACCAGATTCAGCAGACTTGTTCGAATGGTTAGGCACCGATTATAATCTACATTGGAATCTGTCTGATGATTGTATTAATTGCCACCGAAAGGGAGGGCATTGTACAGATGACACAAATAATAATAAATTTCGATGTGAAAAAGGTACCATTGCCCTTTGAACTTGATTTTTCATTATTGAATATTGAAATAAAATTTTTGAATTAAGAAACATTTTAGATGACAATTTATATTTTGTCAATTGAGCCCTTTCTCAGCATATGTTTTAAATTTAATTGCTTTTCGTTTTATTCAAATCAAACTCAACGTTATCCCTAATTTGTTTGCAATGCATAAATCTCATTTGATGTATACTTTTTGCATTTTGTAAAAAGTAATTATAATTATTTGAAATTAAGACAACTTAAAAGGCACATTTCTGAAAAAAACAGTTTGTATACCACAACTATCATTAAGATCATAAAATTCATTTTCCCTTTAACAATCTTTCATCAGTAGGTGATTTCATCACCTTATTATCTTTACTAGGATAATTTAAAAGGTGTTCAATATCCGTCACATTGTATAGCACAGACTTACAAATGATTTCACGTAATTTATGGATACCTTCACATTCACCAACTTGTGATTCAGAACCAATATCTTCATTTGATCGAGTCTTGTGATGCTAAAAACAATTTGCATAGTTTTTTTTTTATAGACATAAAATTTTGAAAACCCCCACTATTATTTTTATATATAAGATATACATATATTTTTGTAAAAAATCCATGTACAAGTAGTAAAAATATAAATCATTTTTTAAATGTATAAATATTCATTTATTGAAAAATACAATAAGTCTTCAAAAATAATAATTTTTCTTAGTCCAGAGTGTGTAAATGTATAGGAAGCAGTGAAGAAACGTGAATTGAAGGACGACACAACTTGTGTACTGGGGCGGAGGGAGAAGAGGGTTGGGATGGGCTATAGCCCTTCCCTGCCCCCAGCCCAGAAGCAAATTGATAAGAAGAAATTACACAATTCCAGGTGTTTAAA